TCATCCTCCCAAGCAGCTGGGACCACAGGCACGCCCCACCACACCCACATAATTTTTTGTATTCTTTGTAGAGAAGGGGTCTCCTTGTGTTGCCCAGGTTCGTCTCAAACTCCTGGGTTCAAGTGATTTGCCTGCCTGTGCCTCTCAAAGTTCTGGGATTACAGACATGAGCCACTGTGCTCGTACCTTACTCGTATTTCTTTTTTTTTTTTTTTTTTTTTTTTTGAGACGATGTCTTGCTCTCTCCCCCAGGCTGGAGTGCAATGGTGCGATGTCAGCTTACTGCAACCTCTGCCTCCTGGGTTAAAGCGATTCTCCTGCCTCGGCCTCCTGAGTAGCTGGGATTATAGGCACCCACCACCACGCCCAGCTAATTTTTGTTTTTGTTTTTGTTTTTTTTTTGAGATGGAGTCTCGCTCTGTTGCCAAGGCTGGAGTGCAGTGGCACGATCTCGGCTCACTGCAAGCTCTGCCTCTGGGTTCATGCCATCCTCCTGCGTCAACCTCCTGAGCAGCTGGGACCACAGGCACCAGCCACGATGCCCGGCTAATTTTTTGTATTTTTTGTAGAGACAGGATTTTACTGTGTTAGCCGGGATGGTCTCCTCCTGACCTCGTGATCTGCCCACCTCAGCCTCCCAAAGTGCTGGGATTACAGGCGTGAGCTACTACGCCCAGCCAACTTTTGTATTTTTAGTAGAGATAGGGTTTCACCATGTTGGTCAGACTGGTCTCCAACTCCTGACCTCAGGTGATCCGCCCACCTTGGCCTCCCAAAGTGCTGGGATTACAGGCGTGAACCACCACGCCCGGCCCCCTATTCATATTTCTTAACAGAGTATCTTGAAAAGACCTTAGCTCTGATGTAGTTGAAAAGATTAACAGCTGTAGACATGACTTCTGTGAGGATTGCTAATTGAGCATTTCATGCCATTGCATGTTGATGCAGAAATTAGAGAGTTATACCTATGAAGGCGTGAAGGTAGTTTTTTTTACCGAAGCAGCTCCATCCAAGCAGGAAGTACTATTGTTTTATCTTTCTTTTTCTTCCTTTGGAGATAGGATCATGCTCTGTCACACAGGCTGTAGTGCAGTGATGCAATCATGGCTCACTGCTATCTCAAACTTTTAGCCTCAAGTGATCCTTCTACCTCAGACCCCCAAAGTATTGGCATTACAGGCATGAACCACTGAACCCAGTCCCTATTTTGTTTATCTTTTTTTTTGGCCAAAATAGTTTTCACTATGGTAGTCTTTGCAGTTTCTTAGATACTTTAAAAATAAGATTAATAATGTCAGGGCACACGTAATGAATGAAAGGCAGGAGTTGGCTGCACTTGCGGGCAGTCATTCATCCAGTTGCAAACTAAAAGAAAAGAATATTGCCACCAATTCCAGTTTCAATAGCCACTCTTGAAATATTGGAGAACAAAAAGGTGGTTCTGGAATAGATAGCATTATTCAACAGAAGGACTACTTTACTTTCTTTCTCTGCTCTGAGCTCTAAACTGGCTTAACCAGGTAAGGTGACTTCTTCAAGATCTCTCCAGTACGGAATGTGTTTTCTCCCCATTCGGCAATGTGATAAACAGTCTTCTGGGTGCTTTAAAAACAAAACTGTTTGGAGGCAACTACGTTTTAGTTACACAGCCTTCTTAGAAGTAAGATCGTTATCTGAAATACTTACTGTTTAGAATGTTGTAAGGCACTCCTTGAATGTTATTGATAATAAGCAACCACTGGTACTTACTATGGGATGAAGCATTGTAGCTTAAATGTTAATCATGGCAACTATAAAAGTAAAAGCAAAATATTTATGAGCTTCATTATAGTTTTTCCCTGACATTGTCTGACAGATGAACACAATTGCATCAGCAGAGTACGTGGTCTTTAATTCATATTATTGGGAAACTTCTGGATGTTCTCACATGGCAAGGATGATTGTGTATTATTTGACCATATAGAGTGTAACACAGCAATCAGGCTGATTTTATATTATTTGATCGTATATATTGACATCCTACCTCATGCATATTTGGAGTGAAATACAATAGTTTTTAAAGTAACAGAAAGAAATCAAAAAGAAAAATATTTACAACCCCACAGAACATATCAGTGGAACCTCTTAGTGATGAGAGGTCTCAGAGTCATCTTACTTTGAGATTGGTTTAAGGAGGAAAGAGTATGGAGATGGCATGATAGTGTTTTTAAATATTTAAAAGATTATCTTAAGAAGAGTGATATTCTTTTTTAAGTCCGGAGGGTATAGAAGGACAAATGAAAATTATAAAAAGTCCTGCTTCCAGTCAATATAAAGAAGGTTTTCTTTCAGACTGAGTTTCACTCTGGTTGCCCAGGCTGCGGTGCAATGGCGCAATCTCGGCTCATTGCAACCTCCACCTCCCGGGTTCAGATGATTCTGCTGCCTCAGCCTCCTGAGTAGCTGGGATTACAGGCATGGGCCACCATGCCTGGCTAATTTTATATTCTTAGTAGAGTTGGGGTTTCTCTGTGTTGGTCAGGCTAGTCTCGAACTCCTGACCTCAGATGATCCACCTGCCTCAGCCTCCCAAAGTGCTGGAATTACAGGCATGAACCACCACGCCCGGCGATATAAGGAAGATTTTCTGATAGAGCCTCCCATCAATAAAATGGGCCACTTTGCAAAACTTCCTCCTCTTGGAGGTAGGAGCACTGGGTCCATCTACTGTTAAAACAGCTAACTTGCATTGTGACTTCTGTTTAATCTCTGGTTCCCTATTTATTTGCCTATGAGGTCATTCACTTAAGTGAAGCAGCTGGACCACAGGTAAGACTGCGGGCCCAGGAGTCAAGACTAAATGGCAAGTGTGATCTTGGACAAGTGACCCAACTCTTCTCTACTTCAGTTTCTTCATTTATAAAATGGAGATAATAGTTCTCACCTCCTTATAGGAGTGTTGTAAGAATTGAATGAGTTAATATATATCATAAGTGCCTGACAGGTACTCAGATGTTAGATTCTAACACCCAGCAGTGTGTGTGTCACATGGTCAACACCTATGTTGAGGGCAGATGTAGCAGGAAGAAGCTGAACAGCCATGTTTCAGTGATGTTGTGGAAACAATTCCTGGTTTTGAGAGCATAGGTGGATTTCCTGATTTCTCAAAACCACAGTGCTCTGGAGATAGAAACCTGGGATAACAAGAATTTAGGGTAGGTGCCATGTGTATGTAAGGAACGCAGAAGTTGCAGGGCTGCTTGTGGAAGACTTTACTTTCTCCTGAGTTTATATAGTGGCTTGCCCTGTTGGAAGGCGTAGTGCATAGTATTTTCTAGCTTCATTTTGTTGCTTCTGAATAAACATTTTTTTATTTTTATACTCTAATTTGTTAGGTTCCAGAAGTTGTCATTGCATCTTTTTGGTTCATTCTGCCTCACTAAGGTCTCAACCTATAATTATTGTATTTCCGATGAGATAATACGCAAACCTTTGTGAACTTTTTCTGTGCCCTGGAATGTGTTCAGTATGTTTACAGTACTGGTTATATTAAGATCCAGAATGTCTGATTACTTGCACTTGTGAGGAATCACTTTTTGGTTCATTTATGGTTCAGAGTGTGGTCCCTGGAGTCACACTCCTTGCATTTGAATCAGTTCTGCTGCTTCTTGCCTCAGTCTTTGGGCCAGTTCTGTAACTATTCTGAACACATTTCCTCATGCGTGAAGTAGAATTGCTAAAAGCACCAGCTTCACTGGCTGTTGTGAGGATTGAGTGAATCAATATGTTTAGTGCAGAGCCTGGTATCGGCAAGTCCTTAATAAATGTTGGCGCTGCTTCTCAGGATTATTAGTCTTTCACCGATCTCTTGCACATTGTGTGTTGTTACTAATCCAGTTCCCAAAGTAAGAAACTGAGTAACATACGGAGTACAAGAGCCTTCCCTTAAAGCTCCCTTCTTCTAGTGGGTGGATTACAATAGAATTAGGTGGTAAATACCGTAGAGTGTGAACACTGATCTGGGCCCGAATTCAAACTAACTCAATAATGATCTGATTAAAGCATTTAAGAGAGACTGGACTTAAACATCCCAGAAAGCATTTGCCTTTTAAAACAGATTAACTGTAGCGAATTGATACCTTGCAGGGATGAAGTAGGGGACTCACCTTTTCATTCCCAAGGTGTTTTTGTTTTTTTTTTGCCTTCCCTTCTTCCTCCCTCTTCCTTTCACTTCTTCCTGCCCTAGCCCACTTCTCTAAGAAAATAAATGCAGAGAACCTGCTCTGCCCACAGGCACAGTGCCCACATGACCCCAATTCCTCCACCTGGAGGAGGGGCACCACACATAGGATTGTGCCCAATAGAGTCCTTATTATGAAAAGTGTGGCAGGGTTGACCTAGTAAGCTGTAGATTATTGCCCAGAGATACAAAAGGGCTTCTGTCTGTATTGTATGCAATTTAGGATCTTCTCATGTTTTAAGTCTGAAGATGTCTTTTGTTCATGTAATGTCAGCTTATGTTGCTTTAGGCTTTTTTATAACTGTAGAGGAATAATTGAGGCATTTGATTTATATATATGTGTGTGTGTATATATAGATATATGAAATTCTTATTAAGAACTGCCTTCATTTATCTACATCAGTAACAAATATATATGTACCTCGAAGTTTTATGATGCCTAAAATGTCCTGGTTGTTCCAGAATTGGATTGTGGTTAGTTGGCCATAATAACAGCTAGTTTCCTACAGCTAAAAATATTGAGGAGAGAATAACAGTAAAAGAGTAAAAGCATAATTTTGTCAGCAGTGGCTAGATATGTAAACATTGAGGGTTAGACCTAGAAATATATTTGGTATAAAATTGAAGAAATCTATCAAAGAACTATTTGAATTGGTACCAAGGATGCTTTTTCCTTTAAAGAGTATATTTTTTTGTGCATTAAATAAATTTAGTTCTAGTAAATTACCATTTTGCCTGTGTAGCATTTTAATTCTTTTTGTTTTTTTCTTTTCATTTTCAGCTTATGGAAAAGTATTTCTAGTTCGTAAAATAAGTGGTCATGATACTGGAAAGCTGTATGCCATGAAAGTTTTGAAAAAGGCAACAATAGTTCAAAAGGCCAAAACCACAGAGCATACAAGGACAGAACGACAAGTCCTGGAGCACATTAGGCAGTCGCCGTTTTTGGTGACATTACATTATGCTTTCCAGACAGAAACCAAACTTCATCTCATTTTAGGTAAGTGTCAGTTGTTATCAGACTTCTTATGAAAGCATTTTTCTTTGGGTCTTAAGTTATAATGTTCTCGAAGGGCAAGATACTATGGACTTAGAAGAAGTGAAATATTTTGATTCTCATTCTTTGTGGTGGCATCTCCTGGAATATCATGCATTGCTCTGGATTTAAGGCCTCCCATTATGAAAGAATTTACATACTTCTATTTCACACTCTTTTCTTAGTCTTTTTTTCTTTCTTTTCTTTTCTTTTCTTTTCTTTTTTTTTTTGAGACAGAGTCTAGCTCTGTCACCCAGGCTGGAGTACAGTGGTGCAATCACAACTCATTGCAACCTCCACCTCCCAGGTTCAGGCAATTCTCCTGCCTCAGCCTCCTGAGTAGCTGGGACTACAGGCATGCACCACCATGCCCAGCTAATTTTTATATTTTTAGTAGAGATGGGGTTTCACCATATTGGCCAGCCTGCTCTCGAACTCCAGAACTCAAGTGATCTGCCTGCCTTGGCCTCCCAAAGTGCTGGGATTACAGGTGTTGAACTGCCAATCCCAGCCCTTCCTTTATTAATGTTAAGAAACATTTGAATTGTTAGGGGTATCTACTTCCCTGGGCAGTATGCTTCTGTTCAAATGTGAGGAACTGATTGGTGAAGTGGGCCAGTTTCTGCTTTAGAAGTTCTCAGAATGAACAGGTTTAGGCTGACAAGGGGATGTTCGTGGAAACTAGTAATGGAGGAAAATAAAAAAGAAAGAAAATACTTCTGTTCCTACAGATGCTTTGCATTTCTGTGAAAAACTTGATTAGCTACTAATCAGTCAGCCCTTTACACTCCCATTTCCACCCTGGGCACTTTCTGAATCCATTTCTTTCTCAAATAGAACTGGACCTTTATATATGATCTTTGGAAAAGTCCTCAGCACACATTACCAGATTGCTTTGCAGAAAAGTTGCATCATTTTCTGTTCCCACTAGAGAAATGGCAGTGCTTCTAGTATTCTACCATTGTTAAAGATTTCATCTGTGACCATTTTGGTCCTGTGCTTGTGTTAATTTGCATGTATGTGATATCACTCTCTTCTAGAATTATGGTAAGGATTAAATGAGCTGGAATTTCATATAGTGCTTTGCAAGCATTAGCTATTTCTTAAGTGCCTACGGTATGCCAGCTGTTACACTAGGTGTATTCCATACTATTACTGACCCAAAGACACTGCAGGATCCCCTCATTAGTGATGTCAACATTCTGGAAGCTATGTGTCTTGAAGTTACATATCTTGTGTGTGCTTGAGGATTGGAGCTCAAGTCTGACTTATTCCAATGTCTGTCTTCTGTTTCCCTAAATTGCTGCCTGTATTCTTTAATTATTGGTAATACAAACCGGTTTTTTAAATATACATTTGGCCATTTTATTGAATGCTTTTATTTTAGAAATTATATTTTTATTAATGATACCTAAGATTGCATTCACCTTTTGAGCCATGATGTTACACTTCATGCTCATTTTGCAATGCTTACCATCAATTAACAATTCTAAATCTTTATTCATGTAGGACACACTCTCTTCTCTCCTCTTAGAGTCCCCATTAATGTTACCATTTGCCTGTTGTTCCAATGAGTCCATATTATTTGACCCTTCATTCTGCCTCCTGTGTTCATCTGCTATGTTATTGATTTTTTTCGTAGATATGTCTTCAGTATCTACCCACATGAACAATAAGATTGTTGTAGGTGACAGAGCATTCTAATGCAGCGGTTTCAAACATTTTTAGTGCAGGACCCTTCCCTCAAATGAACAAACAGAAATTCAAGTGGAAAACAAATGGAAAGGAGTAGCTCTGCTTGTATCTGGGCCTAAGGGTACCAGGCCCTACCAGTTTATTTCTATTCTTTACCCTAGAATAATTTCCAGGAAAGCCTTAGGAAGTCCATGAGGACTGTTTGAGAAATGATTATCTTTTCAAGTTTCTCCCTTGATAATAAACTCATAAAAGTTAAATCATGTGTCTAAGGTTGTCTGAGTCAGAAGCTGTTAAGAAAACAGGTTCTTGGACTCTGCACCATTACGTGCTATCCTGCCCCTTCCCTTTCTCTCTCCTCTCTTCTTTTTTTTCCTGTTCTGTTAACTATACTCAATATGCATTTTAAAATTATTTAAAATTATAATTTTTATAAAACATTTTAAATTTAGAAGTAGATAGATATGAGTGAAATATTTTGTATTTGACTAGAAAACAGTAGTCCTTAATCATGTTGCTTTTTCATAGTTGGCTCTCCATTACTTTTGGTCTTTGTCATTGGCCCTAAATAAACAAATCCAAAACGAAACAAGAAAACCCATTTCTTGTGCTAACTCAAAAATGGAACGTGAACTAGACAACATATTCATTCCACAGTGAGTGAGACATTGCATTTAGAAACCATGCCCTTCTATCTTCTGTTCACATTAATTTTTTTAACAAAATTATTCTTTGTGCCTGTTTCAGCGTTGACTTTTAAAGATGAAAACTTTTCAGGAATTTAGAAGAGGACTATAAACTGTTTTTATGGTTCAGTTATTTGTTTGCAGTGCTCTAATGCACAGTTTCCCAAACATCGTGCCATACACTTGGTCCCTATGTTAGTTTGCTACGGCTGGGTGGCTTAAACAATAGACATTTATTTTCTCACAGTGCTGGAGGCTGGAAGTCCAAGATCAGTGTGCCACTAGGGTTAGTTTCTCCCACGGCCTCTTCCCTTGGCTTGCAGATTGCCACTGTCTTACCGCGTCTTCACATGTTGTCCCGCTGTGCATGTGTGCCTTGGTATCTCTTTTTGAGTCCAAATTTCTTCTTCCTGTAAGGATACCAGTCAGCTTGCTTTGGGTTCCACCCTAGGCGCCTCATTTTAACTCCATTTACAGTCATATTCTAAGGTACTGGAGGCTAGGACTTCAACATAATGAGTTTTGGGAAGATACACTTCAGCCTATAACAGCCCCAAAAGGTTTATTGATTGACTGACTTTATCCAGCTTTTTGTGAGGTATTAGCAAGAACTTACATGTCTAGCTCTTCGGGGACCTTGCTGACAGTTTGATAATTAAGTAAATACTATAAACCTTTTTTAAAAAACTATATGTTTTCTTAAAGTTTTATTACTGCAAAAGCAGTATATATGCATGCAGAAGATACAGGACAGCAAAAATAAGAAAATAAAAACATTTTCACTACCCAGCATGTACCTTATTATATACTCCTCTATTATCAGTATATATTCTTCTGGTCTTTTTGTCTATATGTCTGTGTGTGTGTTTTATCAAAATGAGTTTGCCCTATATATGATTTGTAAGCAGGTCTTTCAGTTAATGATGTCTACCCTTCCCAGCTAATAAATTTTCATTTGAAAGCCAGTTGTACAAGTTATTTATTGCTGTATAACAAACCACCTAAAATTTCATAACTTAAACAATGATTTATTTTCTCATGATCCCATGGATTGGCTGAGCAGTTCTCTGATGGTTAACCTGGGCTCACCGGGTGTTCAGACCTCACAGCTGAGCTGTGAGGTCCAAGATGGTTTCATTCTCATGTCTGGTAATTGGTGCTAGCTGTTGGCTGGGTCACCTCTTTTCTCCTCTGTATGGCTTCTTATCCTCCAGTACAGTAGATCAGCTTTTTCATAGCATGGTAGTATCAGGTCAGCGAGCAACTATTGCCAAGAAGGCAAAAATGGAGGCTGCAGGGCCTCCTGAGCCTAGACACTGGAACTCACATAGCCTCTCTCTCAACGTAAGACCAGCCTGGATTCATGGGATGCGGAAATAGACTTCACATCTTAAAGAGGGGAACCAGAAAGAATTCATGGCCATTTGTCATACAAGCCCATTTTCATATTTTACTAATTGTAACATAATTATGCTTTACAGCTGTTTATCCAATCCAAGAATGCTCACTTGGTTGTGTTCTTGTAGTATCTTTTAACTTATTCCTGCCTCTGCTGAATTCTGGTAGTAATTGGGAAGCTAGATCTAAAGGCTCAGTAGGTTAAACTTAAACGTTTTGAGCTGAAATACACCATAAATGATGTTATATATTTCATGTTATATCACGTTAGGAGAAACCTATTATCCGACTGTTCCCAATTAGTGATTCTAAGATTAGATTACATAGTGACAGCCTGATCCCTTCATCATAAGGTTATAATTTTTCTCCTAGAAGTGAAAATATTCTGTGTGGTGTTTGGACACTGTGTTTTTTTGTTTTTGTTTTTGTTTTTTGAGATGGAGTCTCACTCTTGTCACTTTGACTGTAGTGCAGTGGAACAATCTTGGCCCACTGCAACCTCCACCTCCTGGGTTCAAGTGATTCTCATGCCTCAGTCTCCTGAGTAACTGGGATTACAGGCGCCTGCCACCATGCCTGGCTAATTTTTGTATTTTTAGTAGAGACAGGGTTTCACTGTGTTGGTCTTGAACTCCTGACCTCAGGTCATCCGCTCGCTTTGGCCTCCCAAAGTGCTGGGATTACAGGCATGAACCACCACGCCCAGCCCGATACTAGTTTTAACATAATATAACATGTGGTTGTAGTGTAATATAACATGAACACCATATAATTCATAAAGATCTTCTTTGTTATTTTTTTTTTTATTCCTGCATAGTCCTTCGTTCCATTCCATCGTGTACTTAACTGGTTCCCTGTGAAGGGATCCTTGGGTTATTGTTTCTTATAAGGATGCTTCAGGGTGTAACTTGCACATACGTCATTTGCTACTTATGTGGGGGGAAAAACCTGTAGGCTTGATGAAGGGAGATTGCTGGGTCTGTGTTTTCACCATTTCTCCTTTTTTTTTTTTTTTTTTTGAGATGGAGTCTCGCCCTGTTGTCTAGCTGGAGTGCAGTGATGTTGATCTCAGATCACTGCAACCTCCGCCTCTTGGGTTCAAGCGATTCTTCTGCCTCAGCCTCCTGAGTAGCTGGGACTACAGGTACACGCCACCACACCTGGCTAATTTTTGTATTTTTTTTT